TATAAAACAAAAAATTATAATAGATGAATAAATTTCTGATGCTCAGGAGGAGAACATCCAATTCTAAAATAAGGGGTTCTCAACTGATTAGTGTTGGAGCTAAACTCTGCAGGAAAGTGGACCTTGAGGACCAGAGCTGACAACCCCTGTTTAGAATTTTCTAATTCTAATTCTAATTCTCATCCTGAGCATCAGAAATTCCTACACCTATTATAATTGCCCCTCGTTTTGGTCAGAAGTTACCATGTTAGTATTTAATTTGTAACAAATTAAAGAAACTATCATTTCTACCATCACCTTTTTTACTGGTAATACTTTTTGTAACCTCTTATTTGCCTAAAAAGATAAACTATATACATGAAACTAAGCATGTTTGCTCAGAATAACCTGTTCTCCACATCATCCTAAAGAAAATGAAGGTGAGATCACGTGAAAAACAAGGAAGAAAGAAAAAATGTGCGTGGGATCTTGGGCTATAGTGTCCAAGTAAAACAGCATCCCTTTAATGTTCAAAACATGTTTAATTTAACTTAACTTCAACTCTAACGTAACAACATATATATATATACACATATACATATATACATATACACATATACATATATACACATATACATATATACACATATATACTGTACCTGAAAAATAAAGCACTGTTTGTTTTATTTGTATATTATGTATATGTGTAATGTATATCTTCTTTCTTATTTTCTAATAACAAAAATAAAATAATGACAAAGATTTTTATCTTTGCTCACTTTGGCCTAAATGGCTGCTATTCTTTTTTATTTTATATTTTGTTAAGGTGTAAGAGGTGTGATGTTTCTGCACCCTTCCATTTTTAGCAAATTATTTTTGTGATGGTTTGTATTTTTTGTGCTCTATATGGAACATCAGTGCCTGTTTAAGTGATGAACTCCATTACTTGTGTTTGTTTTCATACATGATAACAGACGTTTTATACTTGTGCTACAACTTTTTGGCCTGTGCTACAAAACTTTCAACCTCTGTAGCACCAGTGCTATGTGAAAAAAAAGTTAACGTACAGCCCTGCTTGTAACTATGATTAAATTAAATCTCTTATTATTTTCAGATCTACAGAATGTCCCCTGCATTGATTTCTCATTATCTTCTTCATTTTCATCGATTCATAGCTTGTCCTCTATGTATTTGTTCATTTCCCACCAAAGAATCGTTACAGATTATTTTGTTTTTGCCAGCCCAGCTTTCAGATAACTCAGAGCATCTTTATTGGCTTCTTCAGCTTCAGCGATTCTCTTCATCTCCTTCAGCTCTTGCACCCAGTCTTCTTTCCCAGCCTCCCTCACTCTGGGGATGAAGAAGTCCAGATGCTGAAGAGTGAAAGCAGAGTCTGGTTTTAATGCAATCTGAGACAGATGCTTGATGGTCTTGAATGCATTGAACAAAAGAATTGACTTTTGTTCCTCAATCGCCTGCAGATCTTTGTCAAGACAATCCATTATAACTGAAAACCACTTCGTTTGTTTGTGAGCTTCTTCATATATCTTTTTCAAATCATCAAACACAATTATGATGATTGAAGTGCTGATGAAGTATTTCTTGCTTTCTTTGACATGTTTGCTGTGGTGACACTTCCCTGTGCAGACGGTGCAGTAACCGTTTTTCATGACTTTACATTTGCTGGGATTAGAAACCCACCAGCAGTTAAACTCATGGCAGTTTTCCTCACAAACGGTGCAGGTCGTCGCCTTCCTGTGCTTCCATGACTTGCTTTCAATGGGAACCCTCATTTTGACAGTCTTATTGACCTGAATGGTGAAGTCTTTACACTGTTCAATCTTTTCCTTGTTTTGTCTCATTGCCTCCTGAATCTGAAGTTTTTCAGACTTTTTAAGCTCTTTCTCTTGAATTCGCAGCTGTAAGTTGCAGAGAACTGCTTCAAGCTGGATACGCTCTATCAGGACATTTGAAGTCAGCTCTAAACTTCTTCTGTCCTTTTCCTCCAGAGACTGAAGGAATTTCTCCATCTCTTCAGTGCTGTTTTCCCAGGCGTCTCTTTGAGCACGAATGTAACGTTTCTCATTGTGACGGGCTTCAGCCTGACGATTGTTGAATAAGAAACAAACAGGTTGGCCATAACTGTCTTGTCTGCAGGGGATTCTGGCTTTATTAATAGCACCGAGGACATTTTTGGGAGGCAGACCATCAAAGTGTGTGATTAAAAACACAATGTTGTTCACAATATCTTTTCCAAATAAAGACAGAATTGAACTGATAATGTAATGCTGTCTGTCTGAGAGACGATTCGTAGACGCTTGAGTCACAAAGCAAATAGCATCGACTTCACGAACTCCATCATTGCTCTGAAACAGCATGGCTAAATTCCTGGCAACTTCCAGATCATTTTCCAGTCCTCTAGTGTCTCCGTAGCCTGGAGTATCAATGATGGTGAGTGATACGGGACTCTTTACAGGAAAGACCTCGTACATGGTGATTTCTGAAGTTTGTGATTCTGATTGATCTCCACCTTCTTCTTCGGTGATTTCATACCATATTTCATCCTCAAATTTCACTCCTAATAAGTAGTTGACCATAGTGTTGATGATGGTGGTCTTACCGACACCAGTCTCTCCCACCAGCAGAACAATTTTGTTTTGTTTACTAGTGTCTTTTTTCTCATAAGTCCATTTTCTGACTCTCTCATTATCATCAAGCACTTTCTTCTCTGTATGTAAATGGAATCTTTTTGGAGGACCTTGATGAATCAGTCTTGATCTGCATGGTGGAAGACCCTGCTGTCTGTAAAATATGGAGGTAAATGTTTCTCAGAATATTTATGTAGCAAGAATTTTAGACATAACAGTAGCCATTGATACACAGACTTTTTGTGTTACATACTGTACATTTTTCACCATGAACAAATTAATGTAATAAAATATTTTAGTAAGACAATCCAAATACAGATGGTATTTGAAAAAAAAAAAAGATATTCGTAGCCAACTAACACACATTGTATCAGTTACATAATTTATTGATACCTTTTCTTCATTTCATGACTTATTAATTTACAACGTTAGCAGGACATTGCATGCTTGTGATTTCATTACCATCATATTACCAACTCACAACGTTGTCAATACAATCTCCTAAAGTTAAAAGATAACCAAGAGCATTCCAATCACATATTATAAAATGGATAGTTCTGGTCCTTAATTCTGATTGGTTGAGCCTGTAACTTCATTACATCAGTATTACTGTACACAGTAAAAAAAAGCCCAGTGTTACATTAACTCTCACAGGAGTTTATTTGAGTCCCCACTCAAGAGTGTTAAAATTAACACTGAAGCAGTGTTAAAAGTTAAAGAGATAATTAGATGATTAATTAAGTGATGACTGACCATTATCACAATTTTAAGTCACCATTATAGCAGTCAGTGTTTGCATTAGTTGGGCTCTTGACCCTTAAAATTTTAACATTAGATTTTGTTTAGCTGCTGTAACTGAGTTATAACAGCCAGAGGAAAGGTGATCATGTGGCGTTGATTATGTTTTGACAATCACTGAATAAAAAAGTTAGGTTTTCTTTATTGATTATGTCAACCCTATGAATAATATAAGATCTGGCATTTTCAGTATAATCAGACAGATGTTTTTAAAACTTATTTTGATCAAAAACTGAAATTAGACACACAGACACCAAGAATCAGCGTTGTTGTAGGCAATCAAAACTCATCCATGGCTCCCATCATGCATTGCGGCATGAGTAAATTATGAGCTGAATTGTCTTTGTAATTTCTTTTATTCTTACTATTTTCTTTTATTTTTGCTGTTTTTCTGTGACTTTATAATAACTTTTTTTGTGATGTTCAGAGTTGATCTGTTTTTTTTCTGAATATGCTCTTTGTCACCGTTGTTGAGATTCATTTGCTGATTCTTGATGTCTGTGTGTGCCTAAAAGAAAGTCTTTTTCTATGTTTTTTTTTTTTACCAGAAGTGCTTGTAATAAATTCTTCTAAAATGTATAGAAAATACAGGATCTTTTGCAGTGGAATCACAAGGCTGTCGTAATCAATAAAGGAAATATAACTCAGAGATTAGACTCTAAATGAGTTCAGTGATTCAGGTCAAATGATGATTATGTTAAAACATAATCATCACCACCTGATGACTTTTGCTCTTAGCTTGTCTGGCTGTTATAACTCAGTCACAGCAGCTAAACAAAATCTAATATTAAAATGTCAAGGGTCAAGAGCCTATAATGGTGACTTTAGTGAAAATTGTGGTTTTCTCCTTTGGTGATTCTGCTTGTTAATGTCATATGTCTTCAATAATGGTCAATCATCACTCAATGACTTCATTATCTCATTAACTTTAACACTGCTTCAGTATTAATATTAACACTCTTGAGTGTGGGCTCAAATAAACTCCCGGGGAGTTAATTTAACACCGGGCTTTTTGCTGTGTATCACTGTGTCTGTGTGTTGCTGCAAAAGAAAGAGTGAATAGCTTACTTTCCATGTAGACTTTCAGTAAATTCACTTTTGTACAAAATGATTTATAAAACTTAAAGTGGGGGAGTTATCATCCTCAGAATTGAACAAGAACATGGGGAAACTTATGGCTTTCACTAAAGTGTGTGCTGTTATCCGCTATGTGCAAATAGTTTGCATGCATTATTTTATGGTAAACTATGTACAACTTTAATTTTATAATTTGGAGAAGTGTCCTTTTTTTCCTGAAAAGACCATATATCACTGTAAAATGTAACTGATGATCTTACTAATAAAATTAAGTGAAATTAACTTATAAGTTTGATGACTTTACTAAGTTTAACCAAGTAATCTCAACTTTTTAGCACACACTCAAAAAAAAAGCTTGGTGGTCTAACTTAATAAAATTATGACACACATTTCCACACAGATGAACTGATTTATTTGAACGTAAATTAGGTTAATTGTCCTGATGAGTCAAATTCATGCTGATTTAATAAGATCACACCAATTGAATGTGACACATTCTGTGAATGTTCCCTGAACATAATTCACTCTTGTTGATCCAACCAATGCTGTTGCTGTTCAGACTGGTGCCCTTTTCTGCATTTTCATGAGAATGGAAAGACCTGTTAGAGTTTAAGTGTTTAATGTTTAGTTATTTTGAACATTTACAAGATTTTATAGAATAACAAATGTATTTGTAATTTTAGCTCATGTAGCCATAGCCTAACCACAAGGTCTACACTTTAGCATAATGGTAATCTCAAAAATTGACATAACGTAAACTCTTTTAAATGTCAAATATAACTGAAAAACAAACTTTAATAGGTCTTTCCCGTTACTAAAAAACACATTAAACGGCACTTAATTTCGACATTTACTCTCCTGATTGATCCCTATGCAAAGCATGCTGGGAACTAGAAATCCACTGCCCAGTTTCAGTTAATGCAACGTAAATGATGCATGTAGCCCCAACACAAATGGTTTAAGTTACCTTAACATTTTACAAATGTAATTTAATTTAACGTAATAAAATTGAGGACAAATGACAACTGGGTAAAAAACTAAAGATTTGTGTTGTGTTGGCTTATTTTATTTAAGTAATCTTAGCATACTACTAAAATCTTTTTTTTTTTGAGTGCAGAAAGTTATTAAATTAAATAGATTCAAGTAACCTTTACTTAAAATGATAAGTATCATCTTGGTTACGTATGGTAACCCCCGTTCCCTGAAGGAGGGAACGGAGACGTCACGTCGGATGACCGACGAATTGGGATCTCGCTTAGAGAGACCAA